TAATAAAAACAGAATCACTGAAAAAAAAAAAAAAAAAAAAAAAAATTTAAAAAAAGTGATCTATATTGATGTGAAATATTAAAAAAAAGATATAAAAAATATTATTTATTTTAAACAATCTTTAAAACTAAAATTTTACTATAATTTTTAATATTAAAATTTTTTTTTTAATTTACTTTATAAACTTAAATTTTTTAATTTATTATTTATTATAATTATTTAAATTTTAAATTTTTTTGCATATTTGTAATTAATTATATTTAAAGATTTTGATTAAATAAGTCTAAAAAATATATTATTAAATATTTTTTTAAGAATATTGCTAATTTACCCTTCAGTTAATATAATTACTCTATTATTATAACTCAAAAATAGCTTAAATAACTATATTTAATATACTAAATAAAATATTTAGTATTATAAAAAATCTTATTCTAGTCTATTTTTAACTCTAATTCTAAATTTTAACTTTTTTAATATTAATTCTAATTTTAATTTTAAAATTTAAATAAAATTATAAGTAGGTAAAATTTATAATTTTAACCAGAAATTAAAGTTAGTTAAATTCTTTTTTAATATAAAATTATATTTACAAAATAAACCAGCTTTAGACAATTCTATTATTTTATAAAAAAATAAAATATAATAAAATAAAAAATAAATAAAAAATAGAATTGTTTTTATGCAATTAATGTTTTTATATCCAAATAAGAAAAATTTGAGTAAAAATGAAAATTATAATTAAGTTAGGGTTAAAATTAGGGTTAGAGTAAAATTGCATAAAAAATTTTTTTAGTTACACAATGGGTTAATAAAATTTCGAGATATTAGAGGGAGGCGCAAAGTGAATGGCGTACTGCTTAGTCTTGTTCTAAATAAATTTAAATAATATTATGTATTTAACTTGACTCAGTTAAATTAACTGAGTCAAATTAATTTGTCACAAATTTATCGTAAAATCGGATTATCGTGAAATTTGAAAATTTTTTGGGGCCTTTTTTGTCGGCTTTTTTTTTATAGTTAAATTATTAATAAAAGAGTATAGGTGGATTTTGGTAGAGCTTATGAGAACCCAAATTTCACGATGATCCGATTTCACGATAATCCGCGACAATTTATATTGATTCGAGTTTGATAAATTGACCGGGTCAAGCTTAACCTAAAAACCAACATATGTACGTACGTATATATACTTAAAATAATAGTACGTACGTACGTACAATGATTACTTACGTATTTAATTTGCAAGTTTGGTATTACCTGGCTATTTCTACGTACGTACGTACGTACTGTACGTACGTACGCATACGTATATCAGATATAGTATAAATTTGATACGTAGCGTTTTGTACACGTTTATAAGGTAGCACAAATTTAGGTGTACTAACGCAACATACATACGTAATAAGAGGCTTGTTTCTTATGTGTTTGTGTAGACGAACTTTATTTGCCACTTATTTGATGCATTCAAATATATACAATATTCAAATATATACAATACAAACCCAAACAAAGTTGAGATCGCTGACTGCGGATAATAACCGTGTGTATGCAATTATGCCGTACATATCATTCAAGCATTCCAAAATAAGTTTATGTTACGTACGTACAATAATTATGATTAAGCAGATAACATAAAGATTGGTCAGTTAATAAAATAATTTTTTTAGCTATGATAATTCGAATTACTAAACTTCAATACGTTTATGCAAATAGTTCAAATCAGAAATAAATTTTATATAACAAAAAAATAAAAATAAAAATAAAAAAAGAAAGAAAAAACAAGAGAAAAAAAATAAGAATGAATTGTGTGCAAAAAATAATAATAGTAATTCTTTATTTTTTTTTTTTCTAAAAAAAATGAGAATAGATTAAAAGAGGACATTTGTATCACAGATTTTAAAAAAGTCATCAGAGTAGATAAATCGTGAAACGGCCGAATGCCATATAGGTCACATGAATAATAGGGAAATCTCAATCGAACCACAAAGTCCCTTAATTAGAATAATGAAACGATGGAATAATCAATTAGAAGGTTCCAAGTATTCATACTAACAACCACAAAATATGCAATGGCATTCGAAATTTTGAAACATGTTCATTATCTTACGCTTTTACCCGGTATTCAAAATCACCCTTTCCAAAACACTTTGTTGATTTCTAGTAGTGGCTGATACTCAAAGTAAAATGAACCATTTCATTTGATCATCGTAGTCTATTTTCCGGATGTTTACAAATTTAGTTAGTATTATTCTTTCACATTCTTCCATGTAGAAAACCTTATCGGTATGATTGCAGATAGTGGCGAATTAAAGTAATGTGGCTAGTAAAGAAATTGGCTGAACTTCTGTTTTGCATACGTACGTACGTATGTGGCTGAACTAAACTTTAATACTTTGTGTTCTCAGCCGAAAGATAAATAATCACGAACTTGGAACGTTTTCATGGAACTTTATCAGCCACAAGAGTGTGGCGAGTGAGCCAGTTGTGTAACCAAAAAAGTCATAAAAATAACCGATTTCAACTTACGGGTCAGCCAAAAACCATCTAGAACACATAATACGAATAGTAATATATTTGGTACATCAAAAATTTGCAATACGTTAAATAAATCAAATTAAGTATTCTAACAAAGAGAAACGCAGTAAATTGCTGTGCCCCACTGTCAACATAAAGCAAAAAAATATAAATTTCGTAAATTCGCTGTGAAAGTCAGCCGGAATAATTCTGCATCTTCTTTTCTTCAAAGACAGTTTATCAAGACTGCTCTTATATTTTGAGGTTTTCTTATTTTGATCGTTTACGAACATCTTAAATACCTTTCGTTTCTTTCTGAACATTCCTCGTTAAAAATTCGGTGTTAAAATTGGCTTTGAAAGCCCATCGAATTACACACCTTTCGATCTATTTTATTTGTCTTTACATGAATTGTGTGAATACAAACAAATATATAATTAATTAAGGTTGAATATAAACACGCATATAGATAGATAGATATATAATATATATTCGCATACATCCATTATTTAATAATAAGCTTAAAATATGAACCCGAACCAGACAATATTAACAACCGGTGAATCCCGTGTAGTTCGCCGACAACCTCGTGGCACGATTAACAGAAGAGCTTGCGAAAAATGTCGTCAGCTAAAAATTAAATGCGATGGTGATGCTGAAAAAGATTTACCATGCACAAATTGTGATGCTGGAACTTGTGTGTTTGATAAATCCCCTCGCAAAAATCGTCAAGTAGAAAAACTCAACACACAGGTCAACAATTTGGAAATATCTTTGAGGCAAACCCATAATGATTTTAAACAAAAATCTGAACAACTAAAATATACCATCGACATTTTGAAATTGGAAAAACAAATTCAAAGCCTGTTATTTGATTGCTACGATTATTTTAACAACTGTCAAGAAAACCAAGAAATCTATGGACAATTGAGAAAATCCATTGAAGAAAGCAGATGTACAAAATTGTACCTACAATTAATGAAAGCTTTTCTTGAAAAGTTATTACGAAACGAAGACTCGAATACCATAATTTCGAGTCTAAAGATGATTGCTGAAAACACATTATCTTGCTGCGAACCAGAAACTTCTTTCGTGATCATACCACCGGAACTGTATGATCAGATTGTACAAATGCAGTATGCCTCTGAACTCAATCATTCATCGATAAATACCGCTACTTCAATGTCCGGATCGGTCTCCCCATCGCCTTCCCTTTCAGGTACAGTAACGAATGGAATGGCAAGCGGAATTGCTACCATGTCGTTACAATCACCGATACCCGGCACTGGATCGGATGATGGTTCAGAAATTAGCGGTTCCCCGTTCGCTCCTTCAGCGTCACCAATATTTCCAAGTCCCGATGCGCAATATTTTGCACAACAAAATTCGTATCTATCTCCAACAATTGTGATTTCACCAAATGTTAACGTTGATTCGCCAAATAACGCCGCTGGAACTATCGATTTCGTTTATTTGGATGTGAGCCCAAATAATACTTTTGGAGATGTGAACCAAAATAACTCTTTTGGTGTTTATTTCCCAGATAATCAAAATGAACATTAAACGCGAACAATTATCATAAGCTTTTCAACTAATACTTATACTAACCAATTTGTCTGACATGGAATATAGATATATACATTTAATATCGCTACGATTATGATTTTTTTCTGGCTTTTGGGTGGAATATTATCGGACTTTGGAATTTCGTTTTTTTCTTTTTTTTTTTAATATTTATTTTTCAAACACTTTAAGTGTCTTTAGTTAGTATATTTTCATTTTATTCTCCTCACATATCGATATCAAATTTAACTGTAAATAACCCCAATATTATATATACGTATATATAAATCAAGAAACAATTTCAGACGAACTCTTCCTTTTTTTTTTTTTTTTTTTTTAAAAAAAAAGAAAACTATATATATCAAACGTCGGTCTATGAAATACTTTATAGTTATTCTAGAATTTCAATCTCACTTTTTTAACACACTACAGTTTAAGATTGTTTTTTTTTCTTTTTTACTCTCAAAAATATCAATTATAGCCGGCTATCTTTTATATATAAGATTTATCAGAACAAAGAAATTAAATAAAATCCATTTAAATTCTAATTCTATCACAAAACACGCGAAATTCTAGTTACTACACATGCATATCATATCTTTGTCGTGTTAAGTAATAAATTTATTGCAAATTTACAATACACAGTAATTATATAATGCATACATGAGGTTTTAATGTACAGTGTATTAAAAAAAAACTATACATGAATGCCTTGCAACTATAACATTTAGTTCGATAGTGAAAAAGATTAAAATTCATCTGGTATTATTGCTTTTTAAGCGGATCCAAGTCGTTAAATGCTGTGTCAAACGATATTTTCTTAGTATGACCAGATCCATGTGGCTGTGAAATTACTGTTGTGACCGCAGGGAATACAAATGGAAATGGATTCCCTGAACTTGTAGGGGTTGAGTCCGGAAGCTGTATTCCACTGTTCAATAAATTGTGGGTTGGTGAGGATGCAGAATTACCAAGGGTATCGATGACGTTTGCATTTTGAAAATTTGAAGTGGTCTGTGAGTTATTACGCGATGAATGCTGTGATGAAACTAGTAAACAGAAATGACAGGAATATTAATTATAAATAATTCAAAAATGAACCTGAAGGCTTAATAAAACAATAAAATGCAAACCAGGCGAAGTTTCAATATCGACCAAACTTAAATTTTGAAATGCTTGGTAAGTATCAATTAACGGATCTGATTTTAACTTTTGTGTAGTTGACATTATAGTACCTGAAAAAAAAAAATTAAACATTAACTACATTGTCGTCAAAATAGAAATCAATGAATTGTATCGACCATTACCAAAAGGATTTGTTATTTTTGAAGTGTTCTGTGAGTTTAGGTAATCATTATTCTATAACAATGTTATATTAATTGTGAATTAATGACATACAGAGATATTCGTAAAACACCATGTTTATCACATACACTGTTAAAGGTGAACTGTGTAGGTGAAGACGGATCAGTGCCCGAGTGTGCAAAATAGCAATTACTTGAATTGTTTGGTTTGACGGGATATGTTGTAGAGCGCCTGCGATCGACAATCTTTTGTTGGATGAATGAAGGCTGTAAATTCGATGTTACAAGATGCTGATTATTTGCACCTTGAAGTTGAGTAAGGTTGATCGGCTGAGAACCAGCCTGTTCGTCTATCGACAATCTATGTTCAAGTGGATGAACTATTTGTTGACTTGTTAGTGTTGTCGCATTACTGTATAGTTGATATGTATTATTTCTTGAGATGGATTTTGTTGATGCGTTCAATTGAGTTGATGTGTTATTTAATGAAGAGAAGAGATCGTCGATCTCATTTTTCGGTTTAGACTCACGATCCTGGCCTGAGTTTGACGTAAATAAATTATTGGATGTTTGATTGGGTGTATTGATAGTGAGATTGCTTGCATTCGGTTTTGGCAATATCGGAATGTTAGCGATTATATTTTCGTTTGAATTATTATTATTATTCCAATTAATTTCCAGTGCAGTCTTGAAAGATTGATTTTATTTTTAACTATGAATAGATAGATTTTGAAATAGATGGTATGCAACAAAATTTTTACCTTAAGAGTATTCGTATTACCCATTGAAGATTTTCTTTTGTCATTGGATGCTATGTTAGAGTTCCAATTTAGTGAATCATTCGAAGAATTGTCAGTAAGATTGCCAGATTTGCAGTTCAGAGCTGGAGGATTAATCATGAATGTTTCTTTTCCCTGTCAAGTTATTAGGAAATTAAAGGGAACATACATTAACATTAGTGCAATGTGCAATGAAATGACAGTATAAGCCTTAACATACGTCCAAATTTTCGTTGGTGGATATTTTCAAAGGTTGTCCAGGCAACAGGGATTCATCTAACCATATTTTTTGAATGTATTTCATACGCATGAAACGTCTGATAGAATCAACATCCTCCGAATCAGGCTCAGGAAAATCTGTCCACTTGTATTTTGCGAGCCATATTTCTGCAGCTTTCTAAAAATATTAGCAGAGAATTATCTTAAATCAAAAGGATCATAGTGCAGAAAGTCTTAAAGATTGTTTCAATTTAAAAATCTTTCAAATCAAAATAGAAACAAATTCCACCAATAGTTTTATAGTGCTTATGATAAAGTTACGAGTTGAAATATTAAAATTGAAATAAAATATTAAGACTTGCATCATATAAACAATCATATGTTTCTTACAGCATTACCACCATTTTTCAATAAATCAATTTCTGTGGGAGAAAAAGTTGATGCTGACATCGATTTAACACGATGATTTAACTCTCGACTAGATTATTAAACATCCAAGATATTAATATCAATTTGGGCTAAAACAAAGATCAATTAAATAGGCTTGACTCACTGTAGACCTGAACATCTCGCGCACACGAAGCTATTGTTGAAAAGGTTCACGTATGTTGGGCCCTAGGCAATAAGAAAGGACGTTAATAACGTGTTTACATGATCGGTGTGAGTATTCTGAATTGAATTTATTAAGGAGCATCATTCCATACTTTTATTGGACAATCAAAGCATTTTTTATTTTCCGGTTGTTTCAAAAGATCTAGAATTATTCTTATATATATATGTATATATATTTTAGCGATAAGAAAAACACGGTATAAATGTAATATATAATGTAAAATATATTATCACCTAAGGTGTCGCTCTTCTTGCTTTTTATTCATATTTAATTTTTATAAACGAGCCCAAGATCGCGACGGTAAAAAGCAAGAATCGGGCAAGCGAAACGCCAAAACAAAAATTGGGCATTTTGAATTTTACGTAAGTCGCACGGTTTTTGATTGGACAGCGAATCGAACGTGTTTTAACAATTCTCTTGCGATGAATTTTAATTCGTTAAATCATGAAGATATATGACTACAATAATAAATATTGATGCTTAATGTTCCACATCATCTAATGACTTTAAACTTGAATAAAATTTTGTGCATTCTAATATTTCCGAAGAATATTGAGTTGTAAATGAGATTTTTAGTGCGTAGTGAGTAAGAGTGACCTGTGGAATTTGGTTATCGAAGTGATGGCAATCCCATTGAAGCCCAGGGATCAATTTTTTTAAAATATTCTGCAATATTTTTAGCAAAAGAATTTAAAATTTTATATCCCATCCTTTTAAAAACTTTGAAATCATTTGGATTCGCAAATTGACGATTTGACACGTCTTCATTATCAAAAAAAGCCTTGAAAGAAATCATATCCTCATAAAGATATATTTTGACATCACCATGCCATTCCTGCAAGACAATGTCAATAAATGATTCTAGCACTAATACGAATACATCGATAACCTCGGCTGGTCGTTTTTTGAATCGTACTCTTCTATTATCAATACCGAGATTATATGGAATACGAAAATATTCTATTTCTTCATGTAATTCATTACGAGTGACCATCAAAGAACTTGTGTTATTATAAGGTCTTATTGGTTCTTCCCAAAGAATCTTACCAGTACGATAAAACTCAATTATGAAACGAAATGCATATCCGTTTCGATCAAAGAAATATTCATTGCCGTTGGTCGGATGAAGCAATGATCCATTTCTTTCTTGGAACATCGTACCAAGCATAGTATCTGGATAAGCAGTGAGCGTTGAACGGTATGTCTCGTACTATATAAAGTTCAAGATTATTTAGTAAATATATCATGTGATTTGGGCAAGCTACTTTTATGCCATACCTTAATTCCGCCAACATTCAATATAATTCTTTCCTCTTTGTGGCTTGACATTTTTGACGTACGTAAAACCGGATAAAATCTGGATCGTGAACTGAATGCTTGATTCTGATTGGTAAATTTGAAAATTA